ATTTATGGTACAACGAAGACCCAGGCAAAATGCAAAAGGTACAGCTAATATCGGGTATAGCAGGAATGGCTGTGGTTATACAACGACGTATGTCATTTACATGTGTAGTATCGGTATTTCTCCGTCCATTCATTCATTCTTTCTTTCATTCATCGGTATTTCTCTTTACATTCATTCATTCATTCTATCCTGTTGAAAATAATCACCTCTGCCACATTTTGTTCCAATGAGGCTTTTTGAAAAGTGTAACTACAAGTATAATCAAAAAGTCTCATTACAACAAAATGTGGCAGACCCTTCTTTTGCACAAAGAAATCTTTGAAGCTGTAATTATTGAATACAAGATACACAAATTGTGCTATGGAATCACCTACAGTGATTTATAAACCCGGAATCGAACAAATGGGTTCCCAAAATTGAAATGGAACGTAATGAACCTACGGCTAACAAAGCACAACATCGAAACTTTATATAATTTAGTTCCATATTATTCCGTGATAATTTCACGGAAACATACACCCCACAACCTGCCTTTTTAAAAATGGTTTAAACAATTTGATTACAATTCATAATCATAACTAAGTTTTTTTGTACGATTCTGGTTGTATCGTAAACATGTATTCATGGATGACTATCAAAATGTGATCAGAGGTACAGATAGGCTGCGTATCTGCGTAAATTCTGCAAATATTTATGTGAGAACTCAATCCCTACCATGTCTATTGCGTACAAGTACGCTTGAATTTCAGTAAATATTCAATACATGTAAACTTACATGCGTTCACACAATAATGTCATATCTTACCTTGCGTACCGTGGATAGAAACACATATCTGAGGTATACTGATAAGTTCTATTTCAGGACATTAACTTGGCAACTTGCAGTCTTTCTTATCGTTTCTCACATTATTACAGATAAAATATGAATAATAAACACTAACATTTAAAATCTATTATATTTTTACAATTAGGGACCGTTCATAATTTATGGTTGGGATGGGGTGGAGGGTGGGGTGATGTTGATGATTTTCATGGAGAAGCATGTACAATGTGAATGTCCCCACCCAAAATTTATGTACAAAATAAGTGACCCCCTGCTTGTCATGTACAAAATTAATGACCTCCCCTCCCCTTCCTAATATTAAACATACTCTTATGTACAAAATTGCTACCCCCCTAGTACATGTGCACAAAATTGCTGAACCCCTAGCTCCCCAGAACAAAATGGGTGACCCCCCCACCCCCCCTTTAAAATCATGATCACAATACTATTCATATTGATACCGTTATTTAAGGCAATGACGTTCTATGTACTATTCCCTTTGAATAGAATAGTAGTGCAATAATATATACTCATATCTTTAGGCAAAAACGTCAACAGATACTCGTGCGTAGCATTAGCGTTTTAAGGTTTGTTTACTTCAAGCATGCTAAAAGTACGTCCACAGTGAACCACTGTCGTTGTCCACAGCACCTAATAGCTTCAGCGGTGAATACAGATCGTGTTGATAGGGTTCAATCAGGTGTGACAGTTGTTGACGTCACGAGGTCAGTCGAGGTACTATTTTACAACATACCCGGCTATATAACCGCGGTGAGACACCAGCACACACACAAAACACCGTTCACCTGCGGCGACCCTGACGGAATATATCCTAAACGTTTTGTGTACAGGTAAGTTGAAAATTGAGCAGAGTGATAATACAATTTGATCGATTTACATACCCATTGAGACCCTTCTCATACGCAATGTGCAGATGTGTATTATTACGTGGACAGTTATACAATAATTTCATCGCCTTTCTGTCTGAGTTGCTAATAAAAAAGAGTTATGTGAACCTGTATTGATGGGTTGTACTTTTTGTACGGTTGAATGCAGGTTGTATTTCTGTATATGGCTTTGGAAGACAACCACGACAGTAAATCCTCCTTACGGGAGGTGAATGAAATAATGATTTCTGATTTCCACTCGAGTGGTGATAAATTAACATAACTCAAGCTGCTTTATTATTCTGAAGGAATGTTGTAATCGACTCTGATGTCATTGTCAGCTGAATGTACCCCGGGGATAATGAGTGAAATAGAACTGACGAGTGAAATGGTGAATAGTACAGGCTCGTCGTTGTGGCCAGTTAAAGATGAACGAGACTCCAGGAAAATGGCAACCCCTGCATTTCTCAAAGTTTATGATGAAACTAAGTCCAAGAGTAGATGGTAATCATTATTACATGTGGAAGCTGCGGTGGCTGAGTGGGTTAGATGGCTGAGTTTGTGCACTGCCGATTAGGTGTCTGACTCTGAGAATGTGGGTTCGAATCCCGGATGAGATTCAACCCGTCCAAGTTGCATCAATTCGAGGTTACCTCCAATAATATGCTACACCACGAAATATTTGCTTTTAAACCCTACTCGCTCACTTTCTAACAAACAACATCCGCATTCACCCCCACCCCCACCCCACCCACTCACCAAGCCCCCATGAACAGCAGCAGACCCCTTAACGATTCCTGGTAGAGGTTTCATGCTGACAGTTATCAAGCTACTTGGCATACGAACAGCAAAGTTTATTATTTATAATTAACTATCTAAATTACATTTGTTAGTCCAAAAATAAAACAAGCGAACGTTTGCTGGTTTCGAAACGTCTACAAAGTGTACAAAGGTTGTGACGTAACAAATCAATTGTTCATCATGATAAGCGGATTAACGTGGTTCGATAGACCGGCCGACCGATTAAGAGTGACATCATCACGTGATTCTGAAACAACCTTAACGATTTGCTGAGTAATATTTCCGAGTGAACAGGATCTCACAAAAAGCTCGGATATTATTTCTTAAGAGGCTCATGAGTTTTTAGGCTGAGATTTCTAGATAAAGTCATTCCGCGAAACGTTTATACGGGTAAGTCGTTGTGGCTTTGTACCTTAAGGTCATTAGCACTGGGAGTGGAATCAACACATACAAACAGCCCAATCTCCATAGCTTCCGACAATAGCTTAAACACGCGGCAGTGACGACCATGTGTTCGAACAACAATGACAATTCAGAACGCGGTGCCCCTACGCTCGCTCTTTCCAGTCAGCAGTTCTAACACGTTGACATCAAACTATTATCAAGTGGTCGGACTTAGTACTTGGCAACACACTGCCGAGTATATTCCCCGTATTGTGTCGTGTTTGATAGAATGCCAAACCTTTATGTTTGTGTCGCTGTACCAATACACGACTATTTTTGGATTTGAGTCACTCGCTGACCGTGATATATAACTCAATCATGACTCGATTGGAACTGTTTGTAAATCATGAAGAGATTTTCAAAGGGCCCTTCAGGAGGTTCTCAATGGGAGTTTCAAACTGAGACGACAAATATACAGCAATGATCTGTTAGCTTGTCAGCTGTCCTTCTATACAAAGGTGTTGACCATCTATAAGGCGAAGGGCAGGAGTAACCGATTTAACACTATGTCGTCATTCTTAGCGTCATCACTGACGTCATGTGAAGTGAGCCTTTCCCTATATACCACTCCACTCCATTTGTATATTATACGTTTAGTTATCAGTTCGGGGAACTCTGATAATCTCAAAACTTTTAAATCTGCTGTGGAGGTACTGCAGGGAACGACTCAATACATATGTATTGATACTTTGATCAGTATCCATCTGTTGTACTGGAAATATTACACATCTGGGTCAGGGCGGTAGTCCTAGTGGTTAAAGCGTCCGCTCATCACGCCAAAACCCGGGTTCGATTCCCCACATGGGTACAATGTGTGAAGCCCATTTCTGGTGTCCCCCGCCGTGATATTGCTGGAATTTAGCTAAATGAGTGAGTGAGTATGGTTTTACGCCGCTTTTAGCAATATTCCAGCAATATCACGGCGGGGGACACCAGAAATGGGCTTCACACATTGTACCCATGTGGGGAATCGAACCCAGGTCTTCGCGGTGACGAGCCAACACTTTAACCACTAGGCTACCCCCACCAACCGGAATATTGCTAAAAGCGGCGTAAAACCATACTCAATCACTCACTCACTAATAACTCATCTTCACAACACTTGTTACCTATCAATGAAATGGGTTTCTACTGAAGTTTAAAAAAGTGGTAATACTGTAACTACGTAAATTGCTGTTGATTTGTGTCGAAGTGGGTATTACTACGGTTATAACGAACTTAAATAAGTGTTCCCTTCGAGTTCGTTATAAGTTTTAGTTTACTGTATGTCCTGAAACAATATTACAGATATGTATGAGGTGGGAACGTATCTAGTCTCACGTGTAAAGCACTTTACTGGATGAGTGAAGTGAGGAGAACAAGTTGTCTCTTAATACTTACTTTACGGCATTTTCATTTGTATGAAGAAACACACTGTAATCTTTCATCTCTTGTCCTTGGTGAAAGAAGGACTTCACTTCAAGGAACAGACTATAATCTAGATCTGTTCGTTGTAATAAACTATCGCGCAAAAGAAAGTATTCACCAATGTCCGACGGGAACACCTGAAAGTTGAGGTGTTCCTTTATTCTTTTCCAGAATTTCACCCACAGTGCTATACAAAGCTTGTGAAGAAACCTGAAAAAGAATAAAGGAACACCTGTACTTTCAGGTGTTCTCTTATTCGTTTCCATGAGTATATATGAAACAAATATATAATCGTTATACGATGTACACGCATTTGATATGGGTATCTCATATCATAGTTGTGTTTTGGACTTTAAGTTTGCACCGATTCGGTGACAGATTTTAACCTAGTAACGTTTGGATAACATTTGTAATTGTATTGTCAAATTCCGTTTTCAAGTGAATATTTTCTTTTGGCCGGCAGTGTAGTATCTCCCAGAATGAAACCTCACCTTCGCAACCAAGCGAAAGCTCATCTGGCTTCCAGAAAGAAACTCACCCGGATCCTGAAACGAAGCTCACCGTGGTTTAGTGAAAATGTTTTGCAAAAACAGATTTTGTTGTAACAGCTTCATCATGGCCTTAAACTTGTGTTACAGGTACTCACACGTAAGCCGCAATCATGTGTAAGTGTTTCGAGGTCATCGGCAGGATTGTCATCGGCATCCTCAGCGTCATCTTCGCCGTAAGTAACCGTTGATCTTGTACAGGATATAAGTGAAATGCATGCATAACAGTTGTACTTATAGAGGGATGTATATGTAGTGAAATGTATACATAACCGTTGTACTTATAGAGGGAAGTATATGTAGTGAAATGTATACATAACCGTTGTACTTATAGAGGGAAGTATATGTAGTGAAAAGTAAAAAACCGTTGCATATATAAAGGAAATAAATGTAGTGAAATGCATATATAATCGTTGTACTTATAGAGGAAGTACATGTAGTGAAATGTATACATAACCGTTGTACTTATAGAACTATATGTAGTGAAATGTATACACCCATTGTAATACAGAGGAACTATATGTAGTGAAATGTATACATACCGTTGCACTATATAAAGGAAATAAATGTAGTGAAATGCATAACCGTTGCATACAGAGGAATCGTTGTATACATATAGAGGAACTAACTGCACATGTAGTGAAATGTATACATAACCGTTGTACTTATAGAGGTAAACTGTTGCACTTACAGAGGAACTTTAACTGTAATGTACATAACCGTTGTACTTACAGAGGAACTAACTGCAGTGAAATGTATACATAACCGTTGTACTTACAGAGGAACTAACTACTGCAGTGAAATGTATACATAACCGTTGCACTTACAGAGGAACTAACTGCAGTGAAATGAAATGCATTTGCACTGAGGAACTAACTGCAGTGAAATGTATACATAATTGTTGTACTTACAGAGGAACTAACTACAGTGAAATGTATACATAATTAACCGTTGCACTTACAGAGGAACTAACTACAGTGAAATGTATACATAACCGTTGCACTTACAGAGGAACTAACTGCAGTGAAATGTATACATAACCGTTGCACTTACAGAGGAACTAACTACAGTGAAATGTATACATAACCGTTGCACTTACAGAGGAACTAACTGCAGTGAAATGTATACATAACCGTTGCACTCACAGAGGAAATAACTGCAGTGAAATGTATACATAACCGTTGCACTTATAGAGGATCTAACTGCCGTGAAATGTATACATAACCGTTGCACTCACAGAGGAACTAACTGCAGTGAAATGTATACATAATCGTTGCACTTACTGAACAACTAACTGAAGTGAATTGTATGCATAACCGTTGCCCAGATACCGGAACTAAATGTACTGCTATATGTTATTAACAGCTGCAACTAACAGGAAGGAATGTATATCTGATGTACTTATTTTAAGAGTCAAATATGTCGTTTACTTTTAATGCACCTTTACCTGTGGTATATATGTGCATATTGTAACCCAAGTATATGACGTACCAAGTGGTATGTATATGTATGTTCATGTGTCGTGTTGCAGATCCTGGGTTTCGTGCTGCTGGTATTTGGTATTATGGTGAAGGTGCAATCAGATGTCATACAGAATTTGTTCCAAACGCTCATTACTATGGCGAAAGAACAGGCTTCGGCTGCCATAGGCTCCGGTTTCGATCTGCCTACCGACAACTTCAACATCAACGACCTTGTGGGCGGCCTCGCTATCGTCTTCATCATCATCGGTATTATCATGCTGTTTATTGGAGTACTTGGCATAGCAGGAGCGTGCTGCATGGTGAAGTGTATGATTGTGTTGGTGAGTTGATTTGTTGGGTACGAAGTTTTCACCTTGGTCATACAAGTTCATTTGGACGTATACCGATTACAAGATACATTAGTAAACGTCCGTGTGATTACTATAATGACTTCAACACTGGTTATTCAAGTACTTATATTGAAATTAATACATGCCATACCCGTACGTACATTGATAGCTCAACAGCGGTCGTACAAATACGTATGACGTACATGTACATGTATATTGAAGGCTAAATAATGTTTATACAGATACGTAAATTGGCAGCTATACACGGTCAGGCAAGTACGTTTGACGTATATTGAAGGCTAAATAATATTCATACAAGTAGGTTTGACGTACATTGAAAGGTAAATAGTAGTCATACAAGTACGTTTGACGTACATTGAAAGGTAAACAATGGTAATACAAGTACGTTTGACGTACATTGAAAGGTAAACAATGGTAATACAAGTACGTTTGACGTACATTGAAAGGTAAACAATGGTAATACAAGTACGTTTGACGTACATTGAAAGGTAAACAATGGTAATACAAGTACGTTTGACGTACATTGAAAGCTAGATAATATTCATGCAAGAACGTTTGACGTACATTGAAAGCTAGATATTATCCATATACAAGTACGTTTGGCAAACGCTGTAAGCTGAATATTATCCATACAGGTACACAATTAAAAGCTAAATAATATTCATATAAGAACGTTGGACATACATTGAAAGCTACATACTGATAATAAAAGTACGTTTGTCATTCATTAACATGTACACAATAGTTACACAAGTACATTTCACATATAGACGTATAGTGTACATTGTATTCAGCAGTGTCTGCTTGGAGTTGTTGCATTGGAAGGCGTTGCTGATGCTGTTTTATATGTTTCAGTATCTCATCGTTAACGTCATCTTCCTCATCAGCCAGATTGCTCTAGTCGCCATCGTCGCATCCAACAGAAGCATCGTAAGTGAATTAAACCAAACACGTGTATATTATATTTCTTTTTATAAAATAGTATTAACAATGTACACATAAAACCCATTATCATTGATCATGAATAAACGACGTACTCTAAAACACCCCGTAGATTTATATCACTTTTACATATGAATGTTATATTCAACGGTGGTGTCACAGCCGTAACATAATTCCATGTTTCTCTCAGATCACCGAACCTCCAAAAGCTGGGCTGAAGTCGTCTCTGCAACAGGAATACCAAGGCGTGAACGGCACCGACGTGACCTCCCTCTTGTGGAACGTCGTCATGAACGGGGTGAGACGCCGTACGGCGCTGATCAACTAAATGTTTAGTTTAACACTGTAATATAGATCGACAATAGCAGAATATCATAGTAGTTATAAACACCTCTGATGCACAGCAAAACAATATACATTTAAAGTGATGCTTTTCACAGTGACGCTTATTGATTTTTTACAAACATAATTGTGTCGAACTTAAGGGACCTGCGTAAATACTTCGAGTTATCAGGGCGGTGGAGTAGCCCAGTGGTTAAAGCGTTAGCTCGTCACGCCGAAGACCCGGGTCCGATTCCCACATGGATACAATGTGTAAAGCCCATTTCTGGTGTCCCCTGCTGTGATATTGCTGGAATGTTGCTGAAAGCCTGGTAAAACAAAACTAACTCACTCATGCACTCACTTCGGGTTATCCGAAATCCGACATAACGACGAAATTGAATAACGAGAGATACAAAAGGACAAGCTCTTACTTCGAGAAACCTCTTGACACAAAATTCGACACAATGGTATATATATAAATTCATGAAACCAGTGATGTTAGCCAGTTTTTTCTTCCTATTCAGCTGCAATGTTGCGGCATCGACAACTCACAGGACTTCACTTCAGCAACCAAATGGACAAGTGTCTGGGGCCCTGGGACAACGGCCAACTTCCAGACACCGGCAGCATGCTGTAAGTCGGGTCAGTTCACCAGCAGTGACCAGACATGTGCGACGGCCCCGACAACATCCAACAATAACAAGGACAGCGTGAGTTATCCATACATGGAGTCCATTGTGGTAGTGTTTGGGCCTATTCGATTATGCTAAACCGGTTTTGGTTTCTGGAAAACCATGCACTCGATTATGTCGAAACCTAAAACCGGGTTCTGAAACTTCGAAACCATCTCCGAGGCAGGTTTCGCAGTTTCGGTTTCGCGTTCTCTCACAATTAACATGGTGGAAACGAAGTTCAACTGATCTTGGTGGCAAAAAGAGCAGCAGTCTCTCTAACCAAAATAATGATAGAAATCAACTAAAAACTAGGAAAATATTATTTAAAACCCCAGTGTATTGAACATGACTATTTTATGTAACTTGTTTACATATAATTACTTGTAACAGTATAATTACATATACGCAAATATTTACCTCCAAAAGCATCTCATCTCTTTATTATTTCTTAATTCCCTGATAAAATGACAAAAAAATATTTCCTTCGGCAATGCTGTCATTCAATTCGTTTCACATATATAATAGCTGAGACAGTTTTTTGGTATCCATTTTGAAACCTGATGGTGAAACCATCCACTCGTTTATAAAACTAGACACTAGTTTCACTTTGAAACCATGTATCCGAAACTAGACACTCGTTTATAACAGGAGAAACCAGTTTCAGAAACCAAAACAATTTCGCAATAATTGAACAGGCCCTTAGTCAGAAGCCATTGATATCACAACGAGTTGTTGCAAAAGGAAATGTCTTGAAACAACGAGTTGTAAGATGAATGATATACGTGGCACGAGTACTGTATTGTTTTGTAACCAAAGAAATCCCTGAAGATCAGGGTTAGAATTGATCTTCAGTAACCCATGCTTGTCTCAAGAGTCGGCCAACGGGATCGGGTGGTCAGGCTCGCTGACTTGGTTGACACATGTCATCGTAACCCAGTGGCGTAGATCAGTGCTCATGCTGTTGATCACTGGATTATCTGGTCCAGACTCGATTATATACAGACCGCCGCCATGGAGATGGAATGTTGCTGAGTGCGGCGTTAAACTACAGCCAAACAAAATTGTTCTCTACAATCGACCATTTTAGCTTAGCATCGATGCACATGATCTATTCTGTGCGTGTGTGTGCGTGCATATATGATCATTATATTTTTATTATGACTTTTTTATTTCAGGGATGCTATGAGATGATATGGGACTTTATCTTCAAAGGCACAACTTTCATCATTTTTGCGTGCGCTGACATTGGTGGTTTCGTAAGTAAACTCACTCATTCAACTCAATATCAATTCATACCCCACATGGTAGTCTGTCTCACAGTCCCTGAACCACATTATTTTCCCTACAGCCTAGCCTTCCCTGTAGTGCTAAAGCCCTAAACGAAGCAAGTCTAGATTTCCCGAGGTTCAGGATCTGAATCTCTGGTCTCCCTAGGGCTCCTTTTCAATTTAAATGGGCTTGTTTGTTACTATCAAAGTTATATATATTCAGAGACTAAGCCTTAGTCTATTCACATAGGTGCAATATGTGAAGCCCATTTCTGGTGTCCTCCGCCGTGATATTGCTGGAATCACTTTCTTCATGAGATCATGATTAATGAACAAAGCAATATTTTTAATCAATATTCTATGAACCGTTTACAATAGCTGCTTAAACTGATGCTTGGAAGGTTGTTTCGTAAAATAACTTGTTATGTATTTGCTTCTGAGTTTACTATATTAATCACAAATTGGTATAACATTGTATTTGTCTTCATTGACTTATAAATTACAATATTTGTATGTTGTTAGTTTGTTATGACATTTTCGATTATAATAATTTAAATCAGATAATATTTCATTGAAAAAATTGGAATTATGCTAGCCTTTCATGATATGAGGTGTATATGGTTCACACGTGATGTTTTCTTTGAATAGAAATAAGTAAACCTACATGAACTATATTGGATTTTGTTATAAACAATCTTTGTTTCTTATCAAAAGTAAATTTAAGAAATAATGTTTGCTTTCACAGGCCCTCCTGTCAATCTTCGCCGGTATTATCCTGTACCAGATCCTTCAGAAAAACAAAGTCGGCAGCATGGCCTAGACAGATCACATCTAGACAGAGGTGAGTTATTCCATTGTCGATGTTAAACATGAATTCGGCTAGATAGATGAGACATTACGATGTTAAACATGAATTTGTGAGAGATTGACATTTGAGGAGATATTTGAGGTTTATCGTTGTTACATCTAGTCAGAGATGAGAAATTCCATAGTCGAGGTTAAACATAAATTTGGCTAGATATTTACAAGGTGAGAGGAGATAATTTGAGGTTGATCGTTGTTACATCTAGTCTGAGATGAGACATTCCATAGTCGAGGTTAAACATAAATTTGGCTAGATATTTACAAGGTGAGAGGAGATAATTTGAGGTTTATCGTTGTTACATCTAGTCTGAGATGAGACATTCCATAGTCGAGGTTAAACATAAATTTGGCTAGATATTTACAAGGTGAGATGAGATAAAATGAGGTTTATCGTTGTTACACCTTGTCATTATTTCGGCATATTAAGATTAGATCTGTCTAAATGTACATGACAGTTTCAGAAGCAGACCTATGATGATCGTTGAATTGAAGTTATTGATAGAATTGAAGTTACTGACTACCATCATTACCAATCCCTATACTTTATCAACCACCCACCAGCACAAGAATATGTGTTAATCTCCATGTGTTAATCTTGCAGAAACCCACACCCTGAGCAATGCTGTGATCTACCTCCGAGGCGGAAGTCTGTAGAATCTTGCTGTATTAACGTGAAGAAGTATTTTTATTGTACATTATGTTAAAAATGACTCTTGATTATTGTTGGGAGATATTCCAAGACATTCCAATCCTGACATCATTTACAGATATAGGGAAAGGGATGCCATGGTTTCCATCACAATCAACATTCACAGCCCCAAGGAAAGTTTTCAGAATGTTTTATGGTAGATATGTGGAGGACATTTCAAAATTTGATGCGTCAGTAACAAAACTGATATCCGATACAATTCCCTAATTTGACTTGTACCATTAATTCCCGATGTTTCAGGTGAACAATTGACTAGTCTTTGCGTGTGTTTATGACTGGTTACTGGTGCCACCGGTGAGGCAGGATACGCTCACCTAGATGCGAACACCTGGCCCCGATTTCTCGAAACAAACTTAAGTCTGGGTTTTGACTTTAGGTGCAGTTTTTAGAGCAAAATCAGGAACATTCATTTCCCAGAATAAACTGAAATGGATATAAAACTCCAACTTAGTAGACAATTTGAGTTAGGTAGACGGGTTACATGAGTTGTTTTGTCTTTTTGGTTTTAGAAATGCGACTGAGTTGGAAACTTAGCTGTTTCAAATTGTCAAATTCAGTTTGGAATTTGAGTAAAAACTTAAGTTAGTTTCGAGAAATTGGGCCCTGGTATCATCACTATTTGAAAGTGATTCATAAACACGTGCTCTGCAATCGTATCTCATTCTGTCAATCAGTGTATTGTCTTGTGCAGACTCAATTGTTCACATACAGCTGTAATACTGGGGCGGCGGGGTAGCCTAGTGGTTAAGGCGTTTGCTCGTCACGCTTAAGACCCGGGTTCGATTCCCCACATGGGTACAATGTGTGAAGCCCATTTCTAGTGTCCCCCGCCGTGATATTGCTGGAATATTGCTTAAATCAGCGTAAAATCTAACTCACTCACTCACTGTAATACTGCTGAACGCGATGTGAAACAAACACATACTCATGATATATTCACAATTGTACAATCGACTCCGCTTTTAGAGTTTTTGACGGATGTGAAAAGGGTTTTAACGTATCTGTTTCTATCACATTCCATACCTTTCCAAATCACATAAGGACCCTAAAATATGAATATGAATGAAAACATTAAGATGTAGGTTGTTCGTAGCTGATGGCAGTTCTTATTGTTCGAATGTTCATAAGGAATTTGTGAGTGTATATAAACCTTATAACAGTAAGTCCGATTGTTTGTACATAACATAACCGTTTCAGTATAGTTTCAATATAAGATATATACACTGCATACAGTAGAACCTCGTTAATCCGGACCGATGCACAAAGAGTAGAAGGGGTTACCTGGATTACGGAATAGTTGCCCGGAATTCGAGTGTCCGGTTTAACGGGGTTCATTGTATTCACACTATGGTTGAATGATGATTTATGATAACTACGTTATACAATTGAAGTACAATACATGCCTTTGTGCCCAGTCCTTTGCAATACGATACTAAAATGTATCAAATATACGCCCCCGTTATAACGTGTCTGTGACAGTGTTGAAATACAATATATTATTAGAGCACACAGGGTTACTGCAGTAAACAAACATTATAGAAAGTAAACCATTACATACGTAAACGTGACAGTTATACTAAACAATAACAGTACAGGGATTTATTGAAGTGACAAAATACTGTAATCAACAAACCACTAAAATATATTAACCAGTAAAGTACAATGCATGCTTTTAACGGCACTAAAAAATATCAAATATTCGTCCCCGTTATAGCATGTTCCCCTAGGGTCTATATTGGAATAAATTTCTTCAAATACCAGGAGGCAAGTTCTAGTGAATACAGATATTTCAGTATTATCTTGTATATTATACCATAAAATTTGTATATATATATATTATATATTACTATGTACTGTGATCTATTTGTTTCGATGTCGTGCCATCTGTTTTGGAGAAGTGCCAGTTTTGTACCGAGGATAATTTATAAGCTGAGAAAGACACCTGTTGGATAATTTGCTCTCCTTTGTTGACACTATGTACATATTACCTAAGAAGGGCAACATTGTATATGAAATAGATCACACAATTATATTGATGAATTTCGGTATGCTGATATGTATGGTTGTCTCGAATTTCAGAGGAATTATTTCATGACTGACAGAATTGTTATGTAACTGTAATGTCATGGCCGTTTCTTGGTTAATGTACATGTTTTAAAGATGGCGTTTACAATTTGTCGGATAAAAATCTTGAGATGTATCCCCTCACCTTTTGTTAAAATAGTGGCATCTTCAAAGTGATGACACATACCGATATTGAACGAAGGTCGTATCGAGACTAAAGGGCTTCAGAAATAATATAGCCCTAAAGTTTGTACTGTCACGAATCTATCTCGTATTTGATAGATGTTTCAACACTTCCTGCTACCCTGACAAATGGGACGCAACAAGGCATAAATTTGAACAATAAATGCATTGAAAACATTTTTGTTTGGTAGTAAAACAATTCTAAATTCTAATTAACATATTCATCCGAAATTGAAATTTCAAATTCTCTGAACTTTACCATTAACTCGAAACATAGTACAAGTGAAACAGGAACTATCAGAATGACTGTATTACAACGGCTGACTTTAACTGTTGAACAACCCGATTTGCAACTTTATATTACATTCATATATTATGTATGTTGTGGGCTGTACATAGAAAACTGACAGCGTGGTTGCTGTAAGGAAGTGTCACGGTGTTCTTGTAGGAGATGTTGAAAGGACGTTGTCGAGTTAGGTTAACATCTTGTCGGAGATGTTGCAAGGACGTTGTAGAGTTAGGTTAACAACGTTGCTAAATGGTTGTTCCCATGTTGGCTGACAACATGATGAACATCCACACACAACTGAACATGTTTGTGAAGCACTGTTAGTATTTCATAACGAAGTAGTATTTCCCAACAAAACACCATCATCAACTGCTTTCCTTTTGCTTGGAGTCATAAATGTTTACAAATGTAAAATATGTATTTTATTTCCTTCCTGTCTCTTGTTTGTTGACGTAATTGATGACGTGTTTGTTGACGTCAGATTTTGAGGACAAGACCACATTGTCTGGGTTACAAAAGGACAATTCTATATGTTCTATAATTGAATGAAAACGTTCAAAATATTGAATATGTTTCTGAATAATAAACAGGTCTTGTTCCTTCCAATATACACGGCGGTACAGGACAATGAACCCCGTTAAAACAGATTGTGCTCACAAGTGATATATATATAAAGAGAAACCATGTGCATTAACGGGGTTTCCTTGTCTCTGAATGCATGAGATTCCGTCCAAATGTCCATTTAATCTATCCGTCCGTTCCTTTAGACGTATATTTTTGTATCTATACTCATGCCAATAATGGTTGTCACCCCCTTCAATTTTTTTAATAGGAGATGGGGTGTGGGGTGGGGTGTGTGAGGTGTGTGTGGGGTTGGGGTGGGGAGGGGTGACAACCAATACTGGCATGAGTATATTATGAAAACTTGCTGTTGACCAGATTTGTATTGATATATTCTGTTTATTCTTGTTCATTTTTGAACCTGTTGTGATTCTTTAGAGATGTAAACAGTTGATCTGATTACTCTATTTACCTGCTGTCGTAATAAATACAATATTTCTCCTTATTGTTGGCTCATCATTTGAACAAATAGTAAATAATACAGTGGCATGTTACATAATAGTAAACGATACATGATAGCAAAGAAACGTAACACCATTTGGTTTGTAGCGCCATGAGCACGCATTCCGTGCCTGTAGTTTGGCGCAGTATAAGTGCACATACAAATAATATCATTATTATTATTGCAAACAATTGCTGTACAGTAAACATATATTACATGTTAAATCAAGAATACATTTACAGCTACTTAATATTGCAGAAAGTAAATAAAACATACATTGGTCATCATTGCAGAAAGTAATTATAAACATTACATGTGGTCATCATTGCAAAAAATAATTGTAAACATTACATTTGGTCATCATTGTAGAAAATAATCACAAACATTACATTTGGTCATCTCTGTAGAAAATAATCACAAACATTACATTTGGTCATCATTGTAGAAAATAATCACAAACATTACATTTGGTCATCATTGTAGAAAATAATCACAAACATTACATTTGGTCATCATTGTAGAAAATAATCACAAACATTACATTTGGTCATCATTGTAGAAAATAATCACAAACATTACATTTGGTCATCATTGTAGAAAATAATCACAAACATTACATTTGGTCATCATTGTAGAAAATAATCACAAACATTACATTTGGTCATCTCTGTAGAAAATAATCACAAACATTACATTTGGTCATCATTGCACAAAGTAATTGTAAACATTACATTTTGTCATCATTGTAGAAAATAATCACAAACCTTACATTTGGTCATCATTGTAGAAAATAATCACAAACATTACATTTGGTCATCATTGTAGAAAATAATTATAAACATTACATTTGGTCATCATTTGAGGAAGTAATTATAAACATTACATTTGGTCATCATTGTAGAAAATAATCACAAACATTACATATGGTCATCATTGTAGAAAATAATTATAAACATTACATTTGGTCATCATTAGAGGGAGTAATTATAAACATTACATTTGGTCATCATTGTAGAAAATAATCACAAACATTACATTTGGTCATCATTGTAGAAAGTAATTATAAACATTACATTTGGTCATCATTGTAGAAAGTAATTATAAACATAACATTTGGTCATCATTGGTGGAAGTAATTATAAACATTACATTTGGTTATCATTGGAGAAAGTAATTATAAACATAACATTTGGTCATCATTGGTGGAAGTAATTATAAACATTACATTTGGTTATCATTGGAGAAAGTAATTATAAACATTACATATGGTCATCATTGGAGGAAGTAATTATGAACATTACATTTGGTCATCATTGGAGGAAGTAATTATAAACATTACATTTGGTCATCACTGGTTGAAGTAATTATGAACATTACATATGGTTATCATTGGGGAAAATAATTACTAATACAAACATTACACTTGGTCATCATTGCAGACAATGATTACAAACATTACAGTCTAGTCATCGTTGCAGTAATTAAACAGCGCACTAAAGCGACCTATTACGGTAAGCAAACATTACAGTATAGTGACCAAATACAATATTAATATTTCTATTACACATTATTATTTTATTACATAATTGAAGAAAAGCAGTATAACAAAGCATTACAGTGTGAAAATACTGTACACTATTAGAGCATACTGGGTTTCTGCAGTAAACAATAACTATATATCATTATAGCACAGTAACCCATTCCGTAAGCAAACGTTACAGTAAAAGTAAAACATGACAGCACGGCCTATTAAAGTCATCAACTATTGTAATCGAACATTACAGTATAACAGACCATTAAAATATGTAAATCAGGACAGTGCCCCTTACAGTATCAGAGTGAGTTGGGTTTTAAGTCGCTTCCAGCAATATCCCATTTGCGTAGATCAGTGCTCATGCCGTTGATCACTGGATTGTCTGACCTAGGCTCGATTATTTACAGACCGCTGCCATACATCTGGAATACTGCTGAGTGCGGCGTTACACAACACAAACAAAACAATATGTTGTCATCAAGCGTAACCACCTCCATATAACTGGAATTTTGCCGAGTGCGGCGTAAAACTAAACTCACTCATTCAATCAAGTGTAAAATTCAACCACCTGCTGATGTTATTTTTCATCTGAGAAGGTCATTATGTGAACACGACAAGAATAGATTTTCTTTGGTAATGTCAAAGGAAAAGACAGAGACTGTAAAAAGCCCATGTTCCGAAATAACATTTATTGACTATTTTCACAAAAGTTACGCATAATCTGCCAATACTGTAGTGTGTGGAATAGGCTACGCTTAAAACGTTTAACGTTTCATGTCATAACAGAGATAATGAATGTCATAATGGCTTCCATATTCCAGGGGTGCAATGATCAAACAAAACAAGTTAGAGATCAGAAATATTTTCGGAGCATTTTTAAGGGAAGACTGAAAGTACAATTTCATGAACGTACCAACCTTTGAAATATTCGGTTCGATTTAGAATACGAGAAATAGAATATTTCAAAGGTTGATACGTTCATGAAATTGTATTGTCATTCTTCCCTTAAAAATGCTCCGCGTGTAGTTAAATTGATTCTTGCACAGAAAATCCAACATAACGGCTTTGTGGAAACTTGAAGTCCTTGGTACGATTCCGAATATCATGTCAGTGGCTACTGTCGTAACGTGTAGAATATTCATTAAATCCCCCTACACAATGTTTGTATGTCATTACAATTCAAATCCTTTATAAAGAGCATGTACCCTGCTTGGCAGGGCGGGCCTCACAAATGGCTGAATTGAACAAAAGTTCTCGTACGCTCACAACTTACTCCTTGGTGACGGGTGTCTAATTGCTAATGTACAGGTCTTTAACATCCGGGTAGGTAAGCTGTCTCCGGGTGGATACCGTGAAGTCAGGACGTAACGCTAGTACACGGAGTAATTCTAAATTGTGGTAAGTATTACTATATAGATTTGCTTTTACCGTGTCTTACATGACGCTGAGGTACCTGTTACGGTGTCATGTTTATCGTGATTTTATAAGACTGAAAATGGAAGCTCAGAAATCAGGCTCGTCAATATGCCGCCATTGAATCGGGAATTGTGAAGGTCTGGTTGTGTTTGACAAGGGATTTAATTATTCTAATATTAAGGGTAAATATACTCATGCCATAAATGGTTGCCACCCCCCCCACCCCAACCCCACACACACCCCACAACCCCACCCCACACCCCCTCTCCAATAACAAAAATTGAAGGGGGTGACAACCATTATTGGCATGAGTATAGTTAATATTCTTTATACATTCACGTTGTACGGAACTTAAATGTCATGAAAAAACGTGTGTTCTTAATTAAGTCATTATGCTCTGTGGAACAGGGTAGGTAAACCCGACAAGCCATCTCCATAATCATAGGAAATCGCCCAATGAACGATTTTAACTAAATCATAAGAATTGTGTATCACTATCATACAGTGATCATACCAGATGAGCATATCCTTCCCCTCGGCGGAACTCGTAACCAACACATGGAAAGGCAAGGCAAGTAAAACGGAGAACATACAAGACATATTGCAGAGGCACACGTAATTCTAGAAATCATCCTAGACATATGTACATTATGGTCATTAGAGCTGGTTGGATATGATATCGTTGATATCGTTCTACACTGTCGTACAAAAAATGATACACAGTGTTTGACGGTAGCTACATTGGATACAATCAAGAAATAGTTATTGGACAGTAGGGTATATGGTATCGCAGGTGATATTTCCAACGCCATCTCAATGAGTATCTTAAAACAGCCGATGAGTAAATGAGGTCCCATGGGGACATGGGGGTCATTACTGAAAAAAATTAAAGGTGAATTTTCAAAGATGTATGTTATAGTTTTTACCGTAAGCTTATTTGAATTCATGAAAATATTTCGTGAGGTGAAGATCATTGGATTGGATGGATAATGATAATAAGGCCACTTATATAGCGCTGAACTCCACACCGCTGGGACATGCTCTACCTGTATATAACATGATGGACGTTACTACCTCGGATAACCTGAGCTTAGTCATATGACATATCCCACCGGGTACCTATTTTCTGCTGGGTGAACTCACTTGCCTAAGGTGCCAACATGTTTCGTTGTGGGTGAGGACTGAAGTCTCAGAAACTCTCAGGAGTCAAGCTGCCAAACACGGTCACCCATCCAAGAACTCTCCGCGCTCAACGTTGCTTAACGTTGCTTAACTTCAACTGATTTGTGACCCGAATTTTCTCGTGTGAAAGTGAAAAGAGACACTACAAACAACTATGGTTATACTGAATTCCTCTTCCTTGTTTCATAACAAAATGGTATTTACAATTAATATTAAATTTCAAAGTTTTAAACAATCGTATTTCTATATTCTATGTCGAGGTTTAGGCAGCATTTCGTTAACTAAGACGTCACAGACTGCCCCTGTTTGAAGAGGTCGTTCAATGGTTCACAATTCATCTGGCTCACTGGTTACACATGTTATGTGTTCTATGCGCATATTAAGTGTATTCTTGTAACGTATAATAAGATCGATATAATATCAAGTCCGTACCAGACCGCCAAACCTTTCTAGCGGCCGAGCCTCGTTTTGAGATTTCCACTATTTCCGTTTGTCAGAGCAGGCTCTATGACAGAGCACGCTGCACGACGTGTTTGCAAGGATTAGAAGGAGCCTGGTGTTGCAATATACAAGTGTTTAGATGTATCAAATAATACTGATTAATATTTATATATCCAGTTGAATGAGTTGGTCTCAAAATTTTGGACTGGTTATTGTACGAAGTTGCGCAATGGGACAGAACGCAGTCAGCAGGAAACGAGACTGTTGTGTAATCAATGTTTTGACTTGCACATGTCATCGCATCCCAATTGCGTAGAACGATGGTCATATTGTTGATCACTGGATTGTCTGGTGCAGACTTATTTACAGCCTGCCGTCATATACCTGAGTGCGGCGTAAAACTAAACTCACTCACACCTGCTTTGTGGTTGGAAATACCAAGGATTCTTTTCAACTCTTACTTAGCTTCGCAGAAGCATGGTGACACGCAGAATCACTTAATGTTCTTACCGCTAGTATGTCAGCCCCCATATGAAGATAATTACAAGAATCATGTCCGTTACGTTTCTGGCAACAGTATCTCAGCATCATATAATTATATATATAAGAAAAAAACTTTGGTTTTTTAAAACTTGTCGAGACTGTCTGTGTTCCGTCATTGACGTTTCATGCCTATAATTGAACTCGAAAATATTCCCAGTCTTTGGTGAACACTGAGTGTACTTTCAAAATGAGGATTTGTGCAAACGATTACTGTAGGTTCTGGAGCCAATCAACTTTAGAAACAATTCGGCTTTATTTCTCTTCCACCTCGGTTAAGAAATCGCGGTCTTTGAAAAAGAACAAAACCAAAAACAAAAAACCCAAAAAAAACAACAACTACAACAAACACAAAACACAAAAAACCCGCCCCAAAACACAAACACCTCCATTCTTTTTTTTACATATATTTTTAATCAAACACCTCCCTTCTTAGCACACCCTCAGGCTATACATTTCAGACCCAACTGAAATGAGGGGGTGCATAAAATTTATACGCAAACATATCTCGGCGTTATTATTTTGCTATCGGATATCTCCGTTTACATTTGTTTTCCATAGCGAGAAATCTGATATGCTTATATAAACACTTGGCCCACTCGATCCGAGAGTTTAGAAGCCTCCCCGATTGACTGATACGAAAGTCACCAGCCACGACCCCCCGTGGAGACGTCGTCTGATCTTCACACGGAGTGATATTGTATCAAGGTAACGATCTGATTTAATGTGACTGTGGTATAATGAACATTGCGAATTCCCTATAAATCAATTTTTCGTCCTATGTCGTAAACGAGAGCAATAGTGGAGAATACAACATTGAGTCTCGTGAAGTAACGTAGCTTTAACTCTTCATACGAGGCTGGGAAAAACGTGAAAAGAGTGTTGTCGACCAAAATGTTGGGCGTTCTTTAGTCATTTATTGACCAAAGGGATGGTCAAATTTGAGCTTGTGTTTTTTCAGAAATATCAAATATTTGATTTAACGGTGAAACCGAAAACAACATATAGAACACGTCTAAAGTAAGAAAATGGGAAAATGGTGTGAGGATCTAAATGTTTCCCTTCACAACTTCACATGACATCTGGTAGAGGACGTGTCTAGGATGCCCACTGGCCGTCTCATGGTCAGTTGGAACGTATTCTGTTGAGTATATTTAACTTTCGTCGACTTGACTTGATATAAAAAAGTACATGCAGTTGAATTGGATTTGTCATCCAAAATTATTCTTTGAAATTTATAATAGTAATAACCAGTGTCTTGAGTGTAGCTAACTATCTTCAGCGGCAGAGAGATAAAGATGTCATTATCTTGAGGTCAGAAACAGCATTACGACACAGATTCAATCCTCTGGGAGATATCATGTGATCTCACGTAACTGACAGGAAGCCAGGTCGGGATAATAGATACATTGGCTAGCAAATGGTCCAGTTACAACGACTGTAACATTAATTGGACAGTTGCAGCTCCACGAACGCTTTCATGAACGACGTTCCTACTGATGTGTAGGTGCTCACCGTGGAACGTGGTCGTGGGCGGATACGTGCCATCTGGTCGTAGCAAGCTTGCTATTTCCGATCATACATCACACTGAGAATTATCTCGATGAGCCTTGTGTGTTCTTTAATCTCAGTAGTGATAAGGCTTCAATCAATATATCGATGTTTCCCCAACTGTATCGATACATGTGAAGATCAATAAAAATATAGGAATTAGAGCATTTCACCAGACAGTAATGAAAGCATTTATCTAATTACGAAAGCCAGATTTCGTTAAAGCATTTCTTCTTTTAAGAAAGATATAGAACAATGGATTCGACATTCGAAAACATTTATAACTGATGGTTTTCTGGTGTCCCCCGCCGTGATGTTGCTGGAATATTGCTAAAAGCGGCGTAAAACCAAACTCAGTCAGTCAGTTATAACTGATGGAAAACTATCAGGATTGACCTCGAAAGAATGTTTTGTATTACCGAATAGAAGTAAACCTTAAATATTTACTGAATATATATTTATTTGTAAGTTTGGAATATGGTAATTAGGACATTTTGACAGGAATCGGGCTTCTCTGTGGCCATTCGTTCTGCACCCTTCCTTGCTGTGTTGTGTCTATGTGCAGAGGGAATTTCTGATCGGATTACAAATTCGCTTTTCATTGTCTGTTTCATGCTTAGGGCTGATTCAGTGACACAAATGTTCCACAAGTTTATATTGCAAAATATATATATTTAATTTTCCATACGTCAACTTTTATGAGAGCCATATTTCATATGTCTTCATTTCACAGCGTTTGAGAAAAAAACCGAGCATGAGCTTTCCACGAAGATTTTAAATATTTTAGATAAGACTCTTGCTAAAGGTTATATGATAAGGATTATTACATTCAAAGCCTTAACAAGATATCTCAATGGGTTTTTGGTTCACATGTGAAAGACATTTCAAAACTTTAGCGCCAGTGACTAAATGATGTCTGTTGACCTGTACCACATGGTTTAGTGTTATTTTGTGTGAATAATTGACTAACCTTTGCATGTGTTTATGACAGGTTATATATTAGTATGCGGTTATTAGATCCGATCAAATAAACGATGAAACGCAAATGTTTGCTATTATAGGCTGTGCTGCAAATATGTCGTTTAAATTAGTTTTTTAAATTAGTAGCTATAAAAATACAGTAAACGTCTTTGGCCGGTAGTGTAGCACAGTTGTCATAGGTTCCCATTTTGCTTGGAGGCATGTATACAGATATTAACTTCAGTATGATTTAAGTCTTGGCTCTAGGTCTTAAACTTAGATCTGATTATTTGATTGTCTTCAACATGTCACAGATAACCCCGAGGAAGTAATGACAAAATCTACTGTTTATTCAGACCCCGACGTTGAAAGTAAACCAACCTAAATATATCACAGTACAACCATGAACGTGCTGGTCATGAGGTATTGGTTGTACAGATCCTTAAATAGCCTACCCTAACACGAAGATATGGAATCCTTTAAGGGGCATTGTCGTTGCCTTGGGTTGTTGGGCTCTGATTTAAAACACTCTTTGCTAGTGTGTTTGTGTCTTTGATTGTTCTGTACTAAGAGGCGACTAAAGGGATCGGGTGGTCAGGCTGAGTGCGGGGCCAAACTAAAACTAAACTAAACTAAACTCACCTCACTCACTCACTCACTCACTCAACACCCACCCACCCACTCACTCACTCACTCACTCACTCACTCACTCACTCACTCACTCACTCACTCACTATTAGTTGTCTAACGCTGCACACGGCAATAGTCCAGCTATATGGCGGCGTTCTGAACATAATAGAGTTTGGACCAGACAATCTTGTGATCAACATCATGAGAATTGATCTACCCATTTTGGAACCGATGACATGTGTCAACCAAGTCAGTGAGCCTAGCTACCCGATCCCGTTAGTCTCCCCTAACGACAAGTATGGGTTACTGAAGACCAATTCAAACCCGGTCCTCACGGAAATATTTGTTGGTATTTGTAAGGGGTACAAATATAATTTGACATCGCGGCAATGCGAATTGACCCTGTAGGATCCCACACGAACTTTCACTCAGCAATACATATATATTTCACACAATATGCTTACAATGTTTTCACTAGAATGGAGAACGTCCATAGCAGTTGTACAGTGAAAAACGAAATCGATTGTTAAAAGGCTAAAACACAGATTAAAAATATGTGAAACTTATGAATAGTTGATGATGTCATTGCTGTTTTCATTTGGTGCATAAACATGTTTACCATAAGCGTATTATTCAACATGAGATATTGCTTCTTTGTAACTTGCGAACGCATAAGTGGCTTTTGGGTATACAAACCACACGTAATGCTACAACGTACGTTACAACCCGTTCATTAGGCTGTCACACATACCTTGAACCACATTATATTCCCTACTGCCTTGCCCTTTCTGCCAAGCTAGAGCCCCAGGCAAGTCTAGATTTCCTCAGGTACTACATCACCCTTTTCACCGGGGCCCCTTTTTAATGTGAAAGAAATTGTTTGTTTCTATCAAAATTAGAAAACTACTCAATAGAATCGAAGGAACAGTGGTAATTTTGGGTCAAAAGGTTTTAGATAATATGCTGGAAACTTCACAGAGATTGGGTGCAAAATAATGATGTCATTTGATCGACAACTGGTAATGGTTTAAAGGTCACATTATGTTAGGAAGATAAACCGATAGAATTTTGAAGGGTTTCAAGTTGGAAATTAGACATTTTCACGCATTTTTGAGTTGCAATTTGAGGCTTCCAAAGGTCTTATTCTCCCGAATACACCCAAACCTGCCAGTGCACGTTATAAGGCAAATCTCCCTGAACATCATGCACAAATTTCCCTTATAAGCAACGTTTGGAGCACAGATGAATCACATGTTGAAAACGTCGCCGTATAAGCATTGCTGAAAGGGGGAGAGCTATTGGGTGGATCCAGGAGGGTATTGCCATACGTGAGGCGGCGAGAAGACTTTGTTTCTGCATTGAACTTAACCAACAATAAAATTTCGTCGTATCATATGTGTTTTCTTTATAATAAAAAAACCTAGGTGTTCCTTGGGTTCTTTTGAGTTGTATATATTCAGACACTAAGCGCTAGCCTACCGTTCATGTATGCACATAGACACTGGTGACGTTCCTATGGTTGCCCCGTTATGACGAATACCTGTGTTAATGGGTATTTACCCAGCCTTTGAGGTCCTGAACAATGGTTGTGTTCTGAGAAGGGATCAACTTTCTTGGAAGTGTCAACACTGTTGACAATCGTGACTTGTCCAACGGATAGTTTATTACCTACCTGTGAAGGTTGTGTTGTTGCGTAGCTAGGAAGTGGGATATAATACTCACAAAATATATTGAGTAAACAACCAGTTGGCTCGTGTTTTTCATGCTGTCCTGGATCGGCCGTTTTACTGTCGCTTGTCTGCACACTGTGTGTCTGTGTCTGCGTGTGCGTGCTTGCTGTCGCTTGTTAATCACCGACAGGTGACAAGGATTACCATCTGTCTGCACACTGTGAGTGTGTGGTTGTCTGCGTGTTGTCGCGTGCTTGCTGTCGCTTGTTAATCACTGTCAGGTGACAAGGATTACAATGTCTGCACACTGTGTGTGTGTGTGTCTGTGTCTGCGTGTGCGTGTGCGTGCTTGCTGTCGCTTGTTAATCACCGACAGGTGACAAGGATTACAATGTCTGCACACTGTGTGTGTGTGTGTGTGTGTGTGTGTGTGTGTGTGTGTGCGTGTGCGTGCTTGCTGTCGCTTGTTAATCACCGACAGGTGACAAGGATTACAATGTCTGCACACTGTGTGTGTGTGTGTCTGTGTCTGTGTGTGTGTGTGCGTGTGTGTCTGTGTCTGCGTGTGCGTGTGCGTGCTTGCTGTCGCTTGTTAAATCACCGTCAGGTGACAAGGATTACAATATGTCTGCACACTGAGTGTGTAGGTGTGTACGGTGTTCGTGTGTGTGCGGTGTTGTGGGTGTTCGTGTGTCTGCGTGCGCGCGCTTACTGTCGCTTGTCAGTAACCAACAGGTCCCAAGGATCAACATCTGTCTACACACTCTTTGTGTGTTTTGTGTGTGTGTGTGCGTGCGTTTGTATGTGTGTGTATGTGTGCGTGCGCGTGTGTGTTATGTGTGTTTGTGTATTTGTATATGTGGTTGCGTCTGTGTGTGTATGTTTGTTTAAATATGTTTTTGTGTGTGTTTGTCGGTGTGTTTTTTTGTGTGAATGTGTAATTCTGTAAAACGAAAGAGATCACGATTTCAATGGACAAATTCGTCCTTACTATTGTATTCAGCAGTAGCAGTAGCAGTAGCAGTATAAGTAGCAGTAGTGGGAACAGAAGGGCCACGTGTTTGGTATGCAGTAAACTTCGCTTATAACGAGGTAACACTAATCTCAGTTATAACGAGGGAACACTAATCTCAGTTGTAACGAGGGAACACTAATCTCAGTTATAACGAGGGAACACTAATCTCAGTTATAACGAGGTAACACTAATCTCAGTTATAACGAGGTAACACTAATTTCAGTTATAACGAGGAACACTAATCTCAGTTATAACGATGTAGCACTAATCTCAGTTATAACGAGGTAGCACTAATCTCAGTTATAACGAGGGAACACTATCTCAGTTATAACGAGGAACACTAATCTCAGTTGTAACGAGGGAACACTAATCTCAGTTATAACTAGGGAACACTAATCTCAGTTATAACGAAGGAACACTAATCTCAGTTATAACGAGGTAGCACTAATCTCAGTTATAACGAGGGAACACTATCTCAGTTATAACGAGGAACACTAATCTCAGTTGTAACGAGGGAACACTAATCTCAGTTATAACTAGGTAACACTAATCTCAGTTATAACGAGGTAACACTAATCTCAGTTATAACGAGGGAACACTAATATCAGTTGTAACGAGGAACACTAACCTCAGTTATAACGAGGGAACACTAATCTCAGTTATAACGAGGTAACACTAATCTCAGTTATAACGAGGTAACACTAATTTCAGTTATAACGAGGGGAACACTAATCTCAGTTATAACGATGTAGCACTAATCTCAGTTATAACGAGGTAGCACTAATCTCTCAGTTATAACGAGGAACACTATCTCAGTTAACGAGGAACACTAACGAGGAACACTAATCTCAGTTATAACGAAGGAACACTAATCTCAGTTATAACGAGGTAGCACTAATCTCAGTTATAACGAGGGAACACTATCTCAGTTATAACGAGGAACACTAATCTCAGTTGTAACGAGGGAACACTAATCTCAGTTATAACTAGGTAACACTAATCTCAGTTATAACGAGGTAACACTAATCTCAGTTATAACGAGGTAACACTAATCTCAGTTATAACGAGGTAACACTAATCTCAGTTATAACGAGGGGAACACTTATCTCAGTAATAACGAGGGAACACTAATCTCAGTTATAACGAGGTAACACTAATCTCAGTTATAACGAGGTAACACTAATCTCAGTTATAACGAGGTAACACTAATCTCAGTTATAACGAGGGAACACTAATCTCAGTTATAACGAGGGAACACTAATCTCAGTTATAACGAGGGAACACTAATCTCAGTTATAACGAGGTAACACTAATCTCAGTTATAACGAGGTAACACTAATCTCAGTTATAACGAGGTAACACTAATCTCAGTTATAACGAGGGGAACACTTATCTCAGTAATAACGAGGGAACACTAATCTCAGTTATAACGAGGTAACACTAATCCTCAGTTATAACGAGGCAACACTAATCTCAGTTATAACGAGGGTAACACTAATCTCAGTTATAACGAGGGGAACACTAATCTCAGTTATAACGAGGGAACACTAATCTCAGTTATAACGAGGGAACACTAATCTCAGTTATAACGAGGGAACACTAATCTCAGTTATAACGAGGTAACACTAATCTCAGTTATAACGAGGTAACACTAATCTCAGTTATAACGAGGTAACACTTATCTCAGTTATAACGAGGTAACACTAATCTCAGTTATAACGAGGGAACACTAATCTCAGTTATAACGAGGGAACACTAATCTCAGTTATAACGAGGAAGACTAATCTCAGTTCGTTACAGCGAACATGATGGGAACACTAATCTCAGTTCGTTATAGCCAATGTTCGTTATACGCATATAGAGTAAAATACAAATCAAGTGACAGGGACAAATAATCACAGACACAAACAGTTCGAGATATCCGTTAGTTCGTTATGTACGTAGTTTCGTTTACAACCTTGAGACATGACCCAGTCATTGTACCAATAATTATGACCTTGAACTTCTAGGGCGGATGGGGATAGAAGTTGTATTTTGTTCGAGTAATGTACATGTATACCGTCCTTATATTTTCCCACAAATGTTTCCCACAGAACAATATAAATATCCTTTGGGCAGCCTTTCACAGAAACTTGCGGAGCATTTAAACAGCTCTTCAGTTTTAAATATATGCCATTAAATTACAACTTTTATTTGCAGATACGGGTTTTACAACTACAGCGGCACCATGTGTCAGGTACTTTCAGTCATAGGCCGGATCCTTATTGGGTTACTCAGCCTCGTGTTCACGGTACGTACAGCGAGTGAGTGAGTATGTGAGTGGGGGAGTGAGTGAGTGAGTGAGACCCACGAGCATGGTCGTGACCAAGAATCATAATCATGACAAGCATTGGATTGGAAGCAGCGGATCTTGACAGGACAAAGGGGCGCATCTATGCACGCGGAGTTTCAGCATCCTAGTCCACTGAACCCCTTACCCATCCCCGTGCATCGTGGTACTATATACCCTAACAGTGACATCATACCCGTGAACATCCGGGTTAGAATTGGTGTTCAGCAACCCATGCTTGTCGTAAGAGGCGACTAACGTGATCGGGTGGTCAGACTCGCTGACTTGGTTGACACATGTCATCGGTTCCCAATTGCGTAGATCGATGCTCATGATGCTGATCGCTGGATTGTCTGGTCCAGACTCTATTATTTACAGACCGCCGCCATATAGCTGGAATACTGCTGACTTCGGCTTTAAACAACACACCAACCTAACAATGACAACAACTGCAAAACTGAAGACTTTACAAGTTTATCCAAGGGAGATACTAAAAGGAGTTTAAGAGATCTTGTATGGCAATTTATGACTCTGTTAAAAGGCCATAGAGATCCCTATTGTGAGCTGAAACGACCCACCGGTGTTTGCTTGATGAGTGATCACGTGACTGAATATTTGCTAGCCACTCAGCTGTTTATCATCGTTGGTCTCTCTACCCAACAAGGTCGAGGTCTTGTCAGTTATTTGAATAGCTTGTTTCACAGTCCCTGAGCCGCATCATCTCCTCTTCCTCTCAGTGCTTTGTGCAATGCTATAGACCCCAAATGAAGCAAGTCTAGATTTCTGAATCTCCCTTCTCCTTTTCGAGTTAAGAAAATATATGTTTCTATCAAAATTAAACATATTCATTGACTTATCGTTTTTCAATAATTATTACTTGAACTACTTTTCTGAGATCTTTGTAGGAATACTTGTTTCGCCATTTCCAAAAGATCCTGAATATGAAGACTGTTTTAGTCTGCTAATGTCCTTAATTTTAAAAGAAACATTAATTATTTAGCAATTCGTGGAATTAATGTTGTTAATAGTACAATAGAATGTTAGCGGAATGTGTGTCGCAAGTGGTATCTTTTCTCTAAACTAATGCGAGCCGGGTGCCGTTGTACAAGTTCACCTTAGCTCTACGATCCTTAGCGCTGTGTTAAGGCAAGGGAGTTATAATGACCCTGGCAGTAAGATCGCTTCGGACGACACCGAGACATCGCTTACAATGACAAAATCTACGTAAGCCCAACCTACTAACTAACAATAGCAATATTCCAGCAATATGACGGCGGGGGACATCAGAAATGGGCTTCACACATTGTACCCATGTGGGGAATCGAACTCGGGTCTACGACGTGACGAGCGAACGCCTTAACCACTAGACTACCCCACCGCCCACTGTACCAATGAAGTGCTGATTAAGTTCCTCTTCAAAATACAATCAACTACAGTCCGTTTGAGTCAGAAACGGATCGATGAATTGCAAATGTTATCATTGTACAAAATTGCCACATAAAAGTTCTTTAAGAAACTATCATTAAAATTTTGACACAGTTCACTATTTGTTACGAGGGAGGAGTGCAGAGAAAGGGACAGCCAGGTGTGCGAGAAAGGACGGAGACGGCACAGCACAGGCTAATGAATCAATAACTTGGTGGGCACTTGTGCACGTGCTTCTCTAACACCTGGCTGTCCCTTTCTCTGCACTCCTCCCTCGTAACAAATAGTGAACTGTGTCAAAATTTTAATGATAGTTTCTTAAAGAACTTTTTGGGTGGAGTCCGGAAAATTTTCAAATATGAGAAAGCTGTTGTGTATTAGTAAATGATAAACATGTGTACTATTTATATTTATGTGGCAATTTTGTACAATGATATCATTTGCAATTCATCGGTCCGTTTCTGACTCAAACGGACTGTAGTACGCCTGCAGAAACTAATGATTTGTCTGTTGTTCTAAAACTGCCTGTTCCAAAAAGCAAGATAGTATTTCTGATACCATCAACAAGTCCTCCTGTGCAAGGTTGAGTGGTATGGAATGTCTCATTATGTCAAGCTGTACCATTGGACCCATGAAGATCCCGTGAATTGATCTTCAGTAACCCATGCTTGTCGTGACATGGTAGCCTTCCCAATTGTGTAGTTCGGTGCTCAGCTGTTGATCACTGGGTTGTCTGATCCAGACTCGATTATTTACGGACCGCCGCCATATAGCTGGAATATTGCCGAGTGCGTCGTAAAACTAAACTCACTCAGTCAGTCAGTGGGCCACAGTTCTGATGAAATAGAGTACAAAACGCCATATTACCATCAAATACATAGAGGATTTTTTTTGTTAATGTTGTCAAATAACATGTATATTTCATCGAGTGACAACATCAGCAAAATATTCTATTTATTATATTTTGATCATTGTTTATCAATGACCGAGGCATCGAGTAAGTCTGCATTTTATCACGCAACCCAACTCTGTCGCAAGGGAGGTAACTCTTTAATCAGAAAGTAGTTCCAGACAAAAGTGATATTCTACTCAGTGAAATAACATGTTATTCTACTCAGTGAAAATACCATTTTCATTTTCACCAATATTTACAGTATTTCACCCTTAAAAATATAATAAAATAAAAGCATAATGTAACATACAGAAAGGTCGTTCAGATTTCTTTCTCAACTTTTCCACATTCCTGTTTTCAGATCATAGGCTTGGCTATCTTGGCAGCTGGCGTCATGGTCAAGGTGCAATCACCATACATATCCGGTTTATTGGAGTCTGCAACTGCAGCTGCTGAACAACAGGCCTCCACGGCTACAGGTTCTTCAACAACCTTCCCAGAAATCGATCTCAGTGAGCTGCTCGGCGGTCTAGCTACTGCCTTTATTGTCCTCGGAGTGGTAATGATGGCCATCGGGATATTCGGCCTCGTTGGAGCTTGCTGTATGGTCAAATGCGTGGTCATCTGTGTGAGTAGTTTCAATAACGTTGATGTATTGTCCAGAAATCCTTGAATAATTGTCTTTCACGTTCATACACACGCAGACGCGCGTACACACACGCACACGCAGACGCACACACACATGTATGCACACACACAAATAACTTAAAATGTATACATTTTAATCTTGACTGAAACAGTAAATTCTTTATAATTGTATAAAATCTGTCGCCAAAGAACAGTAAAACAACTACGTTTAGTATATCACAGTTACAAATTTACAACTAGCATGTAACTCAAAATTATACACTATTTAGGACATTACAACATAAAAATGGGCTATAGATCGCCAGCAGATCGCCAGAAGGTAGAGGATCATCCTACTAGGGGCCATGGGGACTTACAGCACCTTTGCACCCGTGAAGGTCCGGGTTAGAATGAGCCTTCAGTAACCCAAACTTGTCGTAAGAGGCGACTAACGGGATCGGGTCGGTCGGGCTGCCTGAGGTTGAAACATGTCATCGGTTCCCAATTAGATCGATGCTCATGCAGCACTGGATGTCTGGTTCAGACTCGATTATTTATAGACCGCCGCCATATAGGTGGAATATTGCTGAGTGCGGCGTAAAACTGGCGGCGGTCTGTAAATAATCGAGTCTGCACCAGAAAATCCAGTGATCAACATCATGAGATTCGATCTGCGCAATTGGGAACCTATTCAGCGAGCCTGACCACCTGATCCCGTTAGTCGCCTCTTACGGCAAGCATGGGTTACTAAAGATCAATTCTAACCCGGATGTTCACGGATACCCTCTCAGGAGAATTCACTAAGTGACTTTGATTCATTGCTTGCAATCGTACATGTGTTTCCTATGTACATATGTATCATTCACATTTCCTACATGTCAACAAAGCTGGAGTAAATCCAGTCTAAAAAAACTTAGGCTCAGTATTATTCGTTACACTGCTATACTGAGTCTAACAAAACCTTGTAGAAGGTCGCTTCAGCTAACCTTTGAGGGACCTATGACCGTCCAATCAAACGCGAGACGGCTGAACGGATTTAACCAATCAGACAACGGCTACTTGTTAGGGTTCGGCGGGACTTACAAAACGGTTTTTGGATTTTCTTTTCCCTGGTCGCTGAAACCGATCTACCAACAATCGAAAATCCGCATAAAACACAGATATTTGACCTGCTGTATATGTTACAGGAAATATGTATAATAAGTAAATATGTATAATTACTGAAAATTTCAGTAATTATGTATAATGTCTGATTCACTCAGGAAGTATGTATATTTACTGAAATTTTCAGTCATTATACATAATTCCTGATATTTAAAAACAAAATTATACATATTTACTGATATCATTTGAATTACTGAAATATTGATATTACTTTTCAGTCAGTCAGTCAAATTTTCATAGATATGTCTTCATTTTTAGGAACAAGGTACAGCACATTGATTTTCATGAATTTTATTTCATTGTGTTCATGAATTTTTATTTGAACATGGGAGTGTTCAGTGACACCTGGAACTACATTCAATCTTTGCCTTGTAACACAAAGCTTTGAGCCAGCACAGTTGCATTTAGTGAAACCTTGTCCACTACAGTAAGAGCGTTGGTGAACAGCTTGCCGAAGGGAAATGGTTTTCTCCGTGTTGAAATCATCTGCAGAGTACAGTCTCGTAGCACACACGTCGAATTGGTTACGAGCATACTTCCTAATATCATACTGCTACACCACCTTTAACTGCTATAGTACACATTTCACTGCTATAGTACACATTCCACTGCTATAGTAAACATTTCACTGCTATAGTAGTTTTACTGCTATAGTACACATTTCACTGCTATAGTAAACATTTCACTGCTATAGTACACATTTCACTGCTATAGTACACATTTCACTGCTATAGTACACATTTCACTGCTATAGTACACATTTCACTGCTATAGTACACATTTCACTGCTATAGTACACATTTCACTGCTATAGTACACATTTCACTGCTATAGTACACATTTCACTGCTATAGTACACATTTCACTGCTATAGTAGTTTCACTGCTATAGTACACATTTCACTGCTATAGTAAACATTTCACTGCTATAGTACACATTTCACTGCTACAGTACACATTTCACTATTATAGTACACATTTCGCTGTTATTGTACACATTTCACCGCTATAGTACACATTTCACTGCTATAGTACACATTTCACTGTTATAGTACACATTTCACTGCTATAGTAGTTTCACTGCTATAGTACACATTTCACTGCTATAGTACAATATTTCACTGCTATAGTACACATTTCACTGCTATAGTAGTTTCACTGCTATAGTACACATTTCACTGTTATAGTACATATTTCACTGCTATAGTAGTTTCACTGCTATAGTACACATTTCACTGTTATAGTACACCTCCTCTGTACCATACGCTCTGCCTGTTCAGTTTGAGGTTCACACGCTCTTTTCCTCTGCAGCTGAATGGCTTCTTGGTTGGATAAAATGGCATTTAGTTGACTGATCTCTGCAGTAGTCTTCAGAATGTCAGTGGGCAAGCTGGTTGATGTCAATCCAGCGTCAGACCCTTACAGCGCCGCAAATGGAGATCGCTTGATTCCGGTATGGAGACTGGAGGTCTTCTGAAATTGAACGAACTTTAGTCCAACAATCCAATCACTTGTATCATTATCACCAATCCAAGCAACAAGCATATCCTTGATGTTACAATTTGCCCTTTCTACAGAACCTTGACTTTGGTATGGTGGCTGATTAGGGCCATCGCTTTCTCGCCTTGGTATATCGCTTTCTCGCTGTATCGCTTTCTCGGTTTATCGCTTTCTCGCTGTATCGCTTTCTCGCGTAATGGTATCGCTTTCTCGTCTCGTGCTATCGCTTTCTCGTCTCGTGCTATCGCTTTCTCGTCTCGCGTTATCGCTTTCTCGTCTCGCGTTATCGCTTTCTCGTCTCTTGCCATCGCTTTCTCGTCTCGTGTTATCGCTTTCTCGTCTCGTGTTATCGCTTTCTCGTCTCGTGATATCGCTTTCTCGCTTTCTCGCCTCCGAATTTTAAGGCGAGAAAGCGATGGCCCTAATCAGCCACCATACTTTGGAGGTGTCTTGGTTTTCCATGTACCATCACCAATAATCTTCAGCCCAGAGTAAATTCAAATCCATTGTCACTTTGAAGAGGAGGAAGACGTCAAGAAGCTGATACGCCACTTCTGCTGCGCGTTAAGAAGTCAGGGGCCGCAATACACAAAACTTAGTCAGAAGGTCTGGATATACCATGATGCATTTGAGCTGTCCTGGAGTCATGGATTGCATGTCGAGAAGATCGACTCGTGCTCTGGAGATGAAGTCTTTGGAGAAGATTGGCTTTACTACGGTCCCTTTTGTTGTAGCTCTCTTATGCTTCCGCTGGCATTCAACACACAAGTTCTCGAAGAGGGTCAATGCTTCAATGGTTATGTTTGCGTACTTCTTGGACAGTTCATGAACCATTTTGTCCCGTCCCCCATGGCCCGTCGCAATGTGACCCCGTTTGACAACTTCATGGGTCTCTTCTATGGAAATGAAGTACAGGGGTGTTTCTTCTTCGTGCTGACGTCTTCTTATCAGCCTGTTAATGTCACCACACTGAAGAACTTCATACTTCTTAAGAAGATAGTACTGATGGGGAGTCTTCTTGGAGGTCTTGGATGCTTCTAGGAGGTCGCTGATGATCTTGTAGTATTCTTCCTTTGGTATCAGAACCCGTTTGTTCGTCTCATAAATCATGAAAAGTCCTCCTCGGAAAATCTTCTCTTGATCCATGTTTGGAAAGTGAAGCAGATCCAAATTTACCAACATTTATACTGGTCTGGTGCTAATTATGTTAATTTGTTTTCAATAATTAACTATTATTATGTTGTGACTGTGCTGCATTTTGACCCTGCTGTATTGTATTTACAGACCGTGTTTTTAATAAGTTAACATGTATTTCTTACAAAAATTGCTTCAAAACCCTGTATTGTTTAAAGGCTGTTTTGTCCATATCCTTCGTCTAGGGACAAATGAATACCGTGCTTTTATGTGACTCAAACCCTGTTGTGATGTGTTTACCTTTGATCCTGCTGTAATGTATTTTACAGGCCATGGTTTCAATAAGTTAACATGTATTTCTTACAAAAATTGCTTCAAAACCCTGTATTGTTTAAAGGCTGTTAGCATTGTCCATATCCTTCGTCTAGGGACGTCAGCGGCTTGTTAATGAATACCGTGAGGACCAATAATTAATTTATGTGATTAATTAATTATGTGTGACTCAATAATTAATTTGATCCTGCTGTGATTTTACAGGCCATGGTTTCAATAAGTTAACATGTATTTCTTACAAAAATGATTCAAAACTGTATTGTTTAAAGGCTGTTAGCATTGTCCATATCCTTCGTCTAGGGACCTCAGCGGCTTGTTAATGAATACCGTGAGGACCAATAATTAATTTATGTGACTCAATAATTAATTATGTTGTGACTGTACTGCACTTAACCTTTGATGCTGCTGTAATGTATTCACAGGCCATGGTTTCAATAATTTAACATGTATTTCTTACTAAAAATGCTTGAAACCCTTTATTGTTTAAATACCGTGAAGACGATGCTTTTCGATAAATAAGTATAATTATGTTGTGACTGAACTACACTCAACCTTTGATCCTGCTGTATTTTATATACCATAAGATGACATATCTATGAAAGTCTGATTGACTTTAAAAGTAATATCAATATTTCAGTAACTCAAAATGATCTCAGTAAATATGTATAATTATGTTTCTCAAATTTCAGGAATTATGTATAATTACTGAAACGTTCAGTAAATATACATAATTCCTGAGTGAATCAGACATTATACATAATTACTAAAATTTTCAGTAATTATACATTTTTACTGATTATACATATATCCTGTAATATATACTAGTATACGCTTATGGGTTTCTAATGACATGGTTACTATTTGCTTATATTTTCGCAAGATGACATCCTTGAATATTGACAAAACGCTATTTTCAGCGACTGTTTACTCATTGCGTGTATCATTCGGAAGCGATCGTGCGGAAAATAGCATTCGGAATCGTTCGAGTTTTTTAGGTAAAGGTTCAAAAGGTATGTGCGAATGTTAACTTTCGTGATTTGGTAAGCTGTGTTCTGACTGGTCAGTCCAAAAGGTTAGCTCACGCGACCTTTAACAAGGTTTTGTTAGACTCAGTTTAGCAGTGTAACGAATAATACTGAGCCTAAGTTTACTTAGACTGGTGTAAATCAGACTGAAGATGTTTCTGTGGCATTAAGTAGTCCATGTGTTCGATGCTCCATGTTACCTAAGTCAAATACTCTCCAAACAAGAACCGCCTCTGTGGTGTAGTGGTTAGAGCGTCCGCCCGGAGAGCGGAAGGTCGCGGGTTCGATCCCCGACCGCGTCATACCAAAAGACGCTAAAATATGGTACTTGTTGCTCCCTGCCTGGCGCTCGGCATTAATGGGTACAACAAGGACTGGTCGGCTCAGAGTTAGTATAATGTGTCTGAGTTGGGGTATTCATGTTTCACTGCGGCATGGTATCCCAGTGGGCTAGCACTATAAAACCAGCTTCAGTCTGGGCTAGTACAAGCAGCCGCACATACACATACACACGCATGCACGTCGTCATATGAGCGAAATATTCTCAAGTACGACGTTAAACTCAATTTCACCTCACCTCACCTCTCCAAACACAATCCTGTGAAAACATTAAGATCATCAAATCTTGATCTTCTGAAGACACCAAGTCTGACGTCATTTGGCTACCGCTCATTCAGCTATGCTGCTCCTTCTCTCTGGAACTTTCTTCCCAATGATATCAGACTGTCATCAACCCTAGACAGCTTCAAATCTCATTTAAACACATTCCTTTTCCGTGTTCCTACTCGTTTTGAATACTGGGCATATATTCATCATAACGCTTAGAGCAGACACTTAGTGCCTGGAGTATTTTAGCGCTTTATAAATTCAGTCATTATTATTGTGTCTGATTATAGTACCTGGTGATAGTCAGCCTGCTGTTTGTCAGCCAGCTCACCCTGATACTCATCTTGGTCATAAACAGAGGTCTGGTAAGTAATCCGCACTATTAACAGAGTAAGTACTTGTCAACATCAATAGAAGTTCTGTAGGTAATTATCACCATAAATAGGGTCTTCGTAAGTAATTATTACTATCAATAGAGGCCTGCAGGTAATTATAGAGCAGTAATTGTCATTGTCGGTATATGTTATGTTGGTAAGTATTGCTATCAACAGAGGTATGTAGGTAATTATAGGGTCTGTAGGTATTTATAGAGAAGTAATTGTCACTGTCGGTAAATGTTATGTAAGTAATTATTGCTATCAATAGAGGTATGTAGGTAATTATAGGGTCTGTAGGTATTTATAGAGAAGTAATTGTCACTGTCGGGAAATGTTATGTAAGTAATTATTGCTATCAATAGAGGTCTGTAGGTAATTATAGGGTCTGTAGGTAATTATAGAGAAGTTACTGTCACTGTCGGTAAATGTTGTGTAAGTAATTATTGCTATCGATAGAGGTCTGTAGGTAATTATAGGGTCTGTAGGTAATTATAGAGAAGTTACTGTCACTGTCGGTAAATGTTATGTAAGTAATTATTACTATCGATAGAGGTCTGTAGGAAATTATAGGGTCTGTAGGTAATTATAGAGAAGTAATTGTCAGTGTCGGTAAATGTTATGGAAGTAATTATTGCTATCAATAGGGGTCTGTAGGTAATTATAGAGAAGTAATTGTCAGTGTCGGTGTATGTCATATAAGTAATTATCACTATCAGTAGAGGTCCTGTGGGTAATTATAAGAAGTAATTGTCACTGTCGGTATATGTTATGTAAGTAATTATCAGTATCAACAGAGGTCCTGTGGGTAATTATCACTGTCAATATAAGTTATGTGTGTAATTATCGTTATCGGCAGAGGTCCTGTAAGCAATTATCAGCATAGGTCATGTACGTAATTATCGCGATAAAAGCAATCATCACTGTAGGTAGAGGCCATGTAAATATTTACCATTATCAATAGAGGCTCTGTAAGAAATTATAAATATAAATTTTGTAAGTAACTATTTCTATCAGTATGGGTCTTGTTAGTAACTATCATTATTAACAGAAGTCAGTTGAGTAATTATCACTATCAGTAGCGGTCTTGTAAGGAATTATCATTATTAACAGAAGTCAGTTGAGTAATTATCACTATCAGTAGCGGTCTTGTAAGGAATTATCATTATTAACAGTAGTCGGTTGAGTAATTATCACTATCAGTAATTTGTATCATTATTAACAGAAGTCAGTTGAGTAATTATCACTATCAGTAGCGGTCTTGTAAGGAATTATCATTATTAACAGAAGTCAGTTGAGTAATTATCACTATCAGTAGCGGTCTTGTAAGTAATTATCATTATTGACAAAAGTCAGTTGAGTAATTATCACTATCAGTAGCGGTCTTGTAAGTAATTATCAATATTAACAGAAGTCAGTTGAGTAATTATCACTATCAGTAGCTGTCTTGTAAGTAATTATCATTATCAATAGAAGTCAGTTGAGTAATTATCGCTATCAGTAGATCTAATAATTATCAAGAGAGGTTTAATAAGTAAATATGACGAGGATTTATTCCTATTTTAAATGCAGAATGGGAGCATCGCACGACTGTTGTAAATTTGTTGCGGGAAGACACTCCAATGTAAATTTGTTGAATGACATTGTAGCATGTATTGTCGTCATCGATGATATTATATTACCGTTAAATGATATTGAGAGGATGCGAAATTCAGCATTTCTATATTTAATTTCGTCCCTGCAGATTGTAGATTATCCTCGAAACACCCTGAAGACGACACTGCAGCAAGAGTACCAAGGCGTCAATGGAACAGATGTGACGTCACTGGCCTTGAATGTGTTGATGGTTCAGGTAGATGACTGATTATAAATAGAGTAACTGAGTGAGTTTGGTTTACGCCGCTTTTAGCAGTATCCCAACAATATTACGACGGGTGACGCCAGAAATGGACTTCGCGCATTGTACCCATGTGGGGAATCGAACCGGGGTCTTCGTCGTGACGAGCGAACACTTTGACCACTAGGCTACCCCACTCCCCAAACCTGGTTATAAATAGAGGTTATGAGACGAGAGTGGTCTTTGGAGAATATTCTACCCATCAGCATCTTTCTTAGAGATAGATAAGATGCGGAGGCACGAGAGTATAATCCGGATAATGATAACACATAATGTACTTCTTTACATCGAAGTTTTCCTTCACTGTGATATATTTTCAAACCACTTATGATTCAGATGATTGACCTGCTTCGTTTGTGATCTGATCACATACAATTTCAGCCATGTTTGTTCACAAAGAATATGCTCATATCGTGAAACCGTTATCTAAATGCAGTAGACATGAAGTTGTACGGTGTACTGAGTTTCTAAAAAATAGTTTCTGCCAGAAATCATCATGTTAAGGCCATTAAAAGAATTCATAATCTAAATGGAACCCCAAAAGATAAAATGTAAATGTACATGTTAACTTTAATTTAAAGTGAAACTTTAATCAGGAAAGCATAATTCTACAATTCTTAAGATTGGTGTTTCAGCTGGAATGTTGCGGCATCAATAACGGCAGCGACTTTGATGCTGCCACGAAGTGGCAGACCACTTTTGGGATGTCGTCTCCGATCTTGTACATGACACCTGTTGCATGCTGTAAGGCAGGGAAGTACACAGGCCCGCCCACGGGAGATGACTGTGCAAAACTTCCTACCGACGTAAACAGCAATTTTAACAAGGTAGTCATGTGAAAGATATGTTTAGATGTGACCAATTCATTATGAAAAAAACTAGCCCTAGTTTGATTGTACCTGCTGCGTTCGGAGGGTTCTGATTAAATGTGTTATAAGGTGTACTTATACAGAATGAGTGCCTGTGTCACGCAGGGACCCAGATACTGTGTTCAATACACTGTGTGTCTGTGTCACGCCGGGAACCCAGATACTGTGTTCAATACAATGTGTGTCTGTGTCACGCAGGGACCCAGATACTGTGTTCAATACACCATGTGTCTGTGTCACGCTGGGACCCAGATACTGTGTTCAATACACTGTGTGTCTGTGTCACGCAGGAAACCCAGATACTGTGTTCAATGAACCATGTCTCTGTGTCACGCAGGGACCCAGATACTGTGTTCAATACACTGTGTGTCTGTGTCATGCCGGGAACCCAGATACTGTGTTCAATACACTGTGTGTCTGTGTCATGTCAGAAACCAATACACTGTGTGTCTGTGTCATGCCGGAAACCCAGATACTGTGTTCAATGAACCATGTGTCTGTGTCACGCAGGGACCCAGATACTGTGTTCAATACACTGTGTGTCTGTGTCACGCCGGAAACCCAGATACAGTGTTCAATACACTGACTTACTGTGTCACGCAGGGACCCAGATACTGTGTTCAATACACTGTGTATCTGTGTCACGCCGGAAACCCAGATACAGTGTTCAATACACAGTGTGTCAGTGTCATGCCGGAAACCCAGATACTGTGTTCAATACACTGTGTGTCTGTGTCACGCAGGGACCCAGATACCGTGTTCAATGAACCATGTCTCTGTGTCATGCAGGGACCCAGATACTGTGTTCAATACACTGTGTGACTATGTCACGCCGGAAACCCAGATACTGTATTCAATACACTGTGTGTCTGTGTCACGCCGGAAACCCAAATACAGTGTTCAATACACCATGTGTCTGTGTCACGCAGGGACCCAGATACTGTGTTCAATACACTGTGTGTCTGTGTCACGCAGGGACCCAGATACTGTGTTCAATACACTGTGTGTCTGTGTCACGCCGGGAACCCAGATACTGTGTTCAATACACAGTGTGTCTGTGTCACGCCGGAAACCCAGATACTGTGTTCAATACACCATGTGTCTGTGTCACGCAGGGACCCAGATACTGTGTTCAATACACTGTGTGTCTGTGTCATGCCGGAAACCCAGATACTGTGTTCAATACACTGTATGTCTGTGTCATGCTGGAAACCCAGATACTGTGTTCAATACACTGTGTGTCTGTGTCATGCCGGAAACCCAGATGTTGTGTTCAATACACTGACTGACTGTGTCATGCAGGAAAACAAGGTACTGTATTCAATACACTGTGTGTCTGTGTCATGCCGGAAACCGAGATGTTGTGTTCAATACACTGTGTGTCTGTGTGTCATGCCTGAAACCCAGAAACTGTGTTCAATACACTGTGTGTCTGTGTCATGCCTGCAACCCAGAAACTGTGTTCAATACAACATGTGTCTGTGTCACGCAGGAAACCCAGGTACTGTGTTCAATACACCATGTGTCTGTGTCATGCCGGAAACCCAGATATTGTGTTCAATACACTGTGTGTTTGTCTCACGCAGGAAACCCAGATACTGTGTTCAATACACTGTGTGTCTGTGTCACGCCGGAAACCCAGATACTGTGTTCAATACACTGTGTGTCTGTGTCATGCCGGAAACCCAGATACTGTGTTCAATACACTGTGTGTCTGTGTCATGCAGGAAACCCAGATACTGTATTCAATACACTGTGTGTCTGTGTCACTCAAGAAACCCAGATACTGTGTTCAATACACCATGTGTTTGTGTCACGCCGGAAAGCCAGATACTGTGTTCAAAACACCATGTGTCTGTGTCACGCCGGAAACCCAGATACTGTGTTCAATCACGCCGGAAACCCAGATACTGTGTTCAATACAACATGTGTCTGTGTCACGCCGGAAACCCAGATACTGTGTTCAATACAACATGTGTCTGTGTCACGCCGGAAACCAAGATACTGTGTTCAATACACCATGTGTCTGTGTCACACCGGAAACCCAGATACTGTGTTCAATACAACATGTGTCTGTGTCACGCCGGAAACCAAGATACTGTGTTCAATACAACATGTGTCTGTGTCACGCCGGAAACCCAGATACTGTGTTCAATACAACATGTGTCTGTGTCACGCAGGAAACCCAGATACTGTGTTCAATACACCATGTGTCTGTGTCACGCCGGAAACCCAGATACTGTGTTCAATACACCATGTGTCTGTGTCACGCCGGAAACCCAGATACTGTGTTCAATATAACATGTGTCTGTGTCACGCAGGAAACCCAGATACTGTGTTCAATACCCTGTGCTGAAGGCGCATTGATACACATGTTATGTCTCTGTCTTCTGTGAAGTATTGTATACCTTTTTTTGGTAGATACAACTCCAAGTGGGAAGCTCAATGTGCTGCTTTATTTAGCCTTCATAACTGTGAAAAAACATGGATTAGGAGAGGGTTTCACTAAGTTGGCATAACTTGTACCCAATCCATTCTCTTGAATAAATATGTTTAAATCAATGGATTTCTCCTTTAAAGGGGGATACTGTCAAAATTAGAATTGCAAATACATACGACAAAGCAGTTTCCACAAATCTCTCCTGAATGCAGAATCCAGTTAGGGTTGCGCCCATCAAATTCAAGTCAATAGTTCTCCCTAGAAAAGAATACAACAACACAGAGAATATGATACAAGTCAAAACATAGTTTTTATGTCGCTGATGTGTCAGATTTGGGAATGACCTTCACACGTCTACCATATAAATTACGCTTAGTCTCTGACTATATATAAGTTTGATAGAAAACACATTATAATTAAATTGAAAGGCAGCTCCAGAGAGAAGGGAGATTCTGAACCAGAGCAAGTCTAGACTTGCTTCATTTAAGGCTTTGGCAATGCAAAAAGGGTTAAGCGGAAGGGGAAAAATGTAGTTCAGGGACTGTGAGGCAGACTAGTCAACAACACGACTTTTAGAGTTTGGCGATGCCTCTTAGGTTTAATTATCCTCATGAACAATTGTAAAGCAAGTACGTATACACCGCAATGTTGTTATTGCGTCTTAACGGTTCTTCGTTTGCTTTCTGTCTCTCCAGGGATGCTATGACTCAATCCTGGATTTCGTTCTTAAGGGGGACACCTTCATCATCTTCGCATGTGTTGATGTTGGTGGTTTGGTGAGTATCAGTCATCAGTTGCACCAACGTAACAATGATAAAGAGGGCTGTTAAGAGAACACGAGCAATGTTTGGTTTTGTTACAAATAAATCTTTACGTCAATAGGGTCTTTGATTGCTTTGCGGCAGGTATAATGATGTTAAATATGTGTTTACTTTGTTTTTTGTATCATTATCAGTTCTCGATTAAACAGACTTTACTTGATTGCAAATTAATGAAGTAAAATCGATCATTTGGTACAGGGGGGCTGATTCCATAATGATTGCACCAGATGATGCCAACAGCACTAGCGAAGATAATTCTTGTCGTAACAGGCGACTAACGAGATTTGATGCTTAGGCTCGCTGACTTGGTTGCTGCAGCAGTCGTATACCATTTGTGCAGATGCAGATGATTACTTACAGACCTCAGTAGATTCAATAATGCTGCTTGTTGCGTTAAACAACAAAGAATACGAAACAAACACTCCGAGTAACATTGATTCGAGTCTTGTTCGTGTAGCTGTGGTAAACCTTTTCATCTGAAAGTAGCAAAGCTGTTCGTCTTCGAAAATGAAGCAACATTGCATCTCATACAGATCGAGTGAAGGCTGCTTGAATCTCGTTGTAGTTCCTACTGGTGTTCTTCTCGGCCGTCATGCTCCACGAGATTATCAAGAAGGAAAACAAAGTGTGGCCATAGGAGGTGAGTGGTAAGGTTGGGTATTGGTTAATGGAGAGGTGGGGTGTTGGCGAGGTTGGGTATTGGTGAGTGGTGAGGTTGGGTATTGGTGAGTGGTAAGGTTGGGTATTAGTGAGTGGTGAGGCTGGGTATTGGTGAATGGTGAGGTTGGGTATTGGTGAGTGGAGAGGTGGGGTATTGGTGAGTGGTAAGGTTGGGTATTAGTGAGTGGTGAGGTTGGGTATTGGTGAATGGAAAGGTGGGGTGTTGGCGAGGTTGGGTATTGGTGAGTGGTGAGGTTGGGTATTGGTGAGTGGTAAGGTTGGGTATTAGTGAGTGGTGAGGTTGGGTATTGGTGAGTGGTGAGGCTGGGTATTGGTGAGTGGAGAGGTTGGGTATTGGTGAGTGGTGAGGTGGGGTATTGGTGAGTGGTGAGGTTGGGTATTGGTGAATGGAGAGGTGGGGTATTGGTGAGGTTGGGTATTGGTGAGTGGTGAGGTTGGGTATTGGTGAGTGGTAAGGTTGGGTATTGGTGAGTGGTGAGGTTGGGTATTGGTGAGTGGTGAGGCTGGGTATTGGTGAGTGGAGAGGTGGGGTTATTGGTGAGGTGGGGTATTGGTGAGTGGAGAGGTGGGTTATTGGTGAGTGGTGAGGGATGGAGGCAGAGGAAGAGATGGTTGCAGTGGTGAAAGGGGCATAAGGCAAGTTAATGGGTATGATCGTTCACTGGCCTGGCGGGTGTGTAAAATACGTATCATGTCAGAAAGCGCACGTAAAATTATCAAATTATCATCATTATCAACGAGGGGCGGTTGGGGTCGAAGTTCAGGGTGTATTAAGCTGTGCGGCCTTGTGGGACATAAAGAAGGATGTGAGTGCAATGAATTGATCCTGTGGGGCAGTCACAGCAGAGAGACACGATCATTGGCCAGGGGGCGTCAGGGTGGGGCTTTACGACCTACCTTCTGGCATACAACAGTTTTCAGCACAAGGACAAACTCACTGAATTTGGAGAATATCATTTGTCGCTCACATGTGTAAACTAGGCATCTGTTGTCAGTTTCAACTTGGAAGCCAAGTTTAATTAAAATCGCTGTATTGCTACATATTTCAGATTCCCAGGCGAACTGCTGTATCTGTGATCTCAAGATGCTCAAGGTGGTTATTCTTTACGCTCCTTCCATAGGCTCAGGAGGAAGGAGTGTTCATTTTTCATGTAAATAGCGCTAACCGTTTTGTCAGATAGTTTGTTTTCAAATAGTATTAAGTCTTTGAGTCTTTACAGTATTCGAAAAAACTAACATGTTTTGAAGAAATGTTGAAAATCAGTGACTTTGGGATTAGATTATATTTGTATAGTTGAAAACCGACCTGTTGTTTAAAATATACTCATGCCAATAATGGTTGTCAACCCCCAAAAACCCACCCCGCACCCCCACCCCCACCTCACAACCCCACCCCACACCCCCTCTCAATTTAAAAAATTAAGTTGGTGACAACCATTATTGGCATGAGTATATGTTACCTAGTTCATACTTTTTTTGTTGAGAATACGCAAATCTAAAAACCAGTTTAATTTATAACTGGATTTTATTTGATAACTGATAGTTTGCAGATTGAGTAATACATTTTTTGAAACCATGAACAAGCCCCTTCAACAAAGAACCGGTGGAATGCAAAATATTTATGTATTATATATTTGATATTAATTTAGAGAGCTATTTTCGACGTAAATACGACTCTACATTTTGAAGTGAATTCATGGAACTTTAAAAGATCTTGTCTGTATGTATATAATTTGCAGAAAATACGTTTTAGAAAGCGAATAACATTGTTCTGGCAGAATCGACCAAAATCGAAGTTGTTTTAATACAATCAAAACCTTCGAGACTGCAAAACATCCGAAATTGTCCAAAGGTGTTTGATGGTAAATATTGTGTAAACTTTAATTTAATCAATGCGGTATTCATTTCACCAATCAGAATTGCACATTTTTCATACTTTGAACAGACAAACCATCCTTATCAAGAAAAGTGTGATTTGTGCATGTGATTTTTGAGATGTTTTCGTCAACCAATCAGATTATAGCACAGACTCGTTGTACATATATTTATTTGACACTTGTATGATAAATAATGTTTTCTTTGTGTGACTTTATATATTACGTATGGTGTATATTTGTTCTTTTCTCGCTTTACTTTTATATCTGAGCGTATACATGGCTGTTATGTAACTGATGACATATTTATCAAAAGGCACATAAAAGACATTATTATTTATTTTGGAACGTATATTATGAAGTGTTGTCGATATGCTTACCTGAATCCTCAATACAAAAGTGCAAGAAGAAGAATCATGAATATAATAGTCATAACTGGTCTGAGGAGTTATCTCATCTGTCATGGCTGTGTTAATGATTGGGAATAGAATATCTCATGTATACGAGAATCAAATATTTGTTGACAGAAACAAACAACTCATGCTATTTGCTCTGTTACTTGTTTTCTCATTAGTCAGACTGACGTGGCAGTCATAGTCATTTATATGGGCATGGCAAGACCTATATGTTTCACATTTTTAAACACCACATCGACCACCACCTATCACTACCACCACAGCTACTACGGGTACCATTACTACTATCACTACCACCACAACCACTACGGCTACCATTGTTACTATCACTACCACCACAACCACTACGGCTACCATTACTACCATCACTACCACCACAACTACTACGGGTACCATTACTACTATCACTACCACCACAACCACTACGGCTACCATTACTACCATCACTACCACCACAACTACTACGGGTACCATTACTACTATCACTACCACCACAACCACTACGGCTACCATAACTACTATCACTACCACCACAACCACAACGGCTACCATTGTTACTATCACTACCACCACAACTACTACGGGTACCATTACTACTATCACTACCACCACAACCACTACGGCTACCATTACTACCATCACTACCACCACAACTACTACGGGTACCATTACTACTATCACTACCACCACAACCACTACGGCTACCATTGTTACTATCACTGCCACCACAACCACTACGGCTACCATAACTAGCCATCACTACCACCACAACCACAACGGCTACCATTGTTACTATCACTACCGCCAGAACTGCTACGGCTACCATTGTTACTATCACTTCCGCCACAACTACTACGGCTACCATTACTACTATCACTACCACCACAACCACTTCGGCTACCATTGTTACTATCACTACCACCACAACCACTACGGGTACCATTGTTACTATCACTACCACCACAACCACTACGGCTACCATTGTTACTATCACTGCCACCACAACCACTACGGCTACCATAACTACCATCACTACCACCACAACCACAACGGCTACCATTGTTACTATCACTACCACCACAACCACTACGGATACCATAACTACTATCACTACCACCACAACCACAACGGCTAGCATTGTTACTAACACTACCGCCAGAACTGCTACGGCTACCATTGTTACTATCACTGCCACCACAACCACTACGGCTACCATAACTACCATCACTACCACCACAACCACAACGGCTACCATTGTTACTATCACTACCACCACAACCACTACGGATACCATAACTACTATCACTACCACCACAACCACAACGGCTAGCATTGTTACTAACACTACCGCCAGAACTGCTACGGCTACCATTACTACTATCACTACCACCACAACCACTACGGCTACCATTACTACTATCACTACCACCACAACCACTACGGGTACCATTACTACTATCACTACCACCACAACCACTACAGCTACCATTACTACTATCACTACCACCACAACCACTACGGCTACCATTACTACTATCACTACCACCACAACCACTACGGGTACCATTACTTCTATCACTACCACCACAACCACTACAGCTACCATTACTACTATCACTGCCACCACAACCACTACGGCTACCATAACTACCATCACTACCACCACAACCACAACGGCTACCATTGTTACTATCACTACCGCCAGAACTACTACGGCTACCATTACTACTATCACTACCATTACAACCACAACGGCTACCATTGTTACTATCACTACCACCACAACCACAACGGCTACCATTGTTACTATCACTACCACCACAACCACAACGGCTACCATTGTTACTATCACTACCACCACAACCACTACGGGTACCATTGTTACTATCACTACCACCACAACCACTACGGCTACCATAACTACTATCACTACCACCACAACCACTACGGCTACCATTGTTACTATCACTACCACCACAACCACAACGGCTACCATTGTTACTATCACTACCGCCACAACTACTACGGCTACCATTACTACTATCACTACCACCACAACCACTTCGGCTACCATTACTACTATCACTACCACCACAACCACTACGGCTACCATTACTACCATCACTACCGCCACAACCACTTCGGCTACCATTACTACTATCACTACCACCACAACTACTATGGCTTCCATCACTACTATCACTACCACCACAACCACTACGGCTACCATTACTACTATCACTACCACCACAACTACTATGGCTACCATTACTACTATCACTACCACCACAACTACTATGGCTACCATTACTACTATCACTACCACCACAACCACTACGGCTACCATTACTACTATCACTACCACCACAACTACTACGGGTACCATTACTACTATCACTACCACCACAACCACTACAGCTACCATTACTACTATCACTACCACCACAACCACTACGGCTACCATTACTATTATCACTACCACCACAACTACTATGGCTACCATTACTACTATCACTACCACCACAACCACTACGGCTACCATTACTACTATCACTACCACCACAACTACTATGGCTACCATTACTACTTCATCACTACCACCACACAACTACTATGGCTACAATTACTACTTCATGACTACCACCACAACTACTACGGCTACCATAACTACTTCATCACCACCACCACAACCACTACTTCGGCTACCATTGTTACTTTATCACTACCACCACAACCACAACGGCTACCATTGTTACTATCACTACCACCACAACCACTTCTGGCTACCATTACTACTCATCACTACCACCACAACCACTACGGCTACCATTACTTACTGTCACTACCACCACAAACCACTTCGGCTACCATTACTACTATCACTACCACCACAACCACTACGGCTACCATTACTACTATCACTACCACCACAAGTACTATGGCTACCATTACTACTATCACTACCATCACAACCACTACGGCTACCATTACTACTGTCACTACCACCACAACCACTACAGCTACCATTACTACTATCACTACCACCACAACCACTACGGCTACCATTACTACTATCACTACCACCACAACCACTACGGCTACCATTACTACTATCACTACCACCACAACTACTATGGCTACCATTACTACTATCACTACCACCACAACCACTACGGCTACCATTACTACTATCACTACCACCACAACCACTACGGCTACCATTACTACTGTCACTACCACCACAACCACTACAGCTACCATTACTACTATCACTACCACCACAACCACTTCGGCTACCATTACTACTATCACTATCACTACCACCACAACCACTACGGCTACCATTACTACTATCACTACCACCACAACCACTACGGCTACCATTACTACTTTCATCACTACCACCACAACTACTACGGGTACCCATTACTACTACTCACTACTCACTTCACAACCACTACGGCTACCATTACTACTATCACTACTACCACCACAACCACTACGGCTACCATTACTACTTCATCACTACCACCACAACTACTATGGCTACCATCACTACTATCACTACCACCACAACCACTACGGCTACCATTACTACTATCACTACCAATTCACAACTACTACTATGGCTACCATCACTACTATCACTACCGCCACAAACCACTTCGGCTACCATTACTACTACCACTACCACCACAACCACTCACGGCTACCATTACTACTACTATCACTACCACCACAACTACTACGGGTACCATTATTACTATCACTACCAATTAATAACCACTACGGCTACCAGTACTCATTATCATCACTCACCACCACAACCACTACGGCTACCATTACTACTTCATCACTGCCACCACAACTACTATGGCTACCATCACTACTTCATCACTACCACCACAACCACTACGGCTACCATTACTACTACTTATCACTCACCACTACAACCACTCTGGCTACCATTGTTACTATCTACTACCAATTACAACCACTATTTGGTACCCATTGTTACTTTATCAATCACCACCACAACCACTACGGCTACCATTGTTACTATCACCGCCACCACAAACCACTACGGCTACCATATAACTACCTTCACTACCACCACAACCACAACGGCTACCATTGTTACTATCACTACCACCACAACCACTACGGATACCATAACTACCATCACTACCAATTACAAACCACAACGCATAG